GCCGCGATAGAATTGAGAATGATGGTGTAATACAGAGCCCAGGGGTGCTTCCACCGGTGCGTAACCTCCTGGCGCAGCGCGTCCCTCTCGGCTTCGTCGAGCTCCTCGATGGACTCGAAGAGTGCTGGGTTCTGAGCGACGAGGGCGCCCTTTTTCAGCAGCGGAAGGATGTCTTCGGGAAGGTCGTGTTTTCTGTGGTATGCTGTCACCTGCTCGAGGAGTTGTGCTTTGGGGATGCCTTTGAGGGGGTTCTTGATCTCGCCCTCGAGATTCTGGGTGAGTTCCGCGATGGACTTTTTGCGTTCGTCGTGGTGCTCAACGCCGTCTTTGTGGATCCTAGGGTTTGTGTAAGTTGCGTCCCAGAGGAAATTCACGCGGGAATGGTGGCTGGGGGATATTGGGCTGGGGGCTACGTACGGCGAGTCCGTCTCGATCCTCTTCTCTGGTTCCGCCATGATGGACGTGGTTCACGATGGAGAATTCCTGTGCAAGGCTGGAATGAAGCTGTGCGCTCGAGAAAATGGCTGCCGTGAGTGACGCAGTTGCACCGTGCCACTCGATAGCTTCAAGCCGTCCGAAGGGAGGGGGGTTCAGATTAAATATCCAGAATTACCCGTCCAACGTCTGAGGGGCCGTCCCTGTCATCTGAATCACCCTGTCTCATCACCAACATGTACTTCAAAGTAGCGGGCGTCGGCTGAGCACGTAGCCGGGGTGTTGGTTGGGTTGGTGGGAGCAAGGGGACGGCTGGAGGGCATACTTTCAGGAGGGAGGGTGATGAGCGGGCATGGTCGTATGAGTTGTACATCATGGCAACATCTCACATTGCATCCCGGCCACCGAGGCAGACCAGTGAAGCGAAGTCATTGAAACAAAGCCTGGATAGCTAGGCCATCAGGTAGACTCTCGACGCCTCTGATCTTAGGGAAGTGATATGCGAGCGCCCCGAATCGGCCTAATGCTGCTACAGCTCCCTTCGATTCTATGCGGGGTCACTACTGGCGTGACAGGCTATTTCATGCAGCTTATGCTGTAAAAAGCTGCAATGGCCTGTCTGTCTGGCCATTGAGGGGGTAGTTCACCTTGCTCTCGTTGGTCGCGTGGCACAGGAGGGGAGGATGTCTCTTCCTCCCATGGCGCAAAAAGCTTAGAGAAGCTTGGTCTGCGACAAAGTACCGGAATGTAAATTGAGCAAAAATGTTTGGGGAGCTCTCTTCAGCCAATAATGTGTCGATCCTTTTGTTCTGTGAGGGATGGTGGGAGTGGGATGACGATTGCTACCACGTTGGAACTTTGAGCAAACGTATGTGGCGCACCCTCCGCGAAGACGCCTTGTAAGACCGGGGTCGAATCTGGGGACGCCCCGGGATCTGACCGCACGCACCAAAGTCCCTTGTTTGATATTACTGTCAGTCAGCCTGGGATGGGTGAGACAAGCCAGACAAACAAGCTACAAGTTTGCCAAGGCTGAACTCGGTAGGGTTGGGTGATGGATGGCGATCTCCGCCTCAATAGCACCAGCAAGCTCCATCCTTTCGGTTTCTTATAATGAGGCTTGCACGGCAGGATCTCGCAGCCTGTATCACCCCACATGCCGATAGCGAATGGCACACAGCGATGTGAAGTCATTTGCAGTTTAGTAAGAGATGAACTTTGAACAAGTACTGAGCCATCTTAAACTCAACGTCATCTAGAAGAACTACCTTATTGAAGGAAAATAGGCAAGTTTGAAAGTGGAAGATCCTGGATAATCCAAAGCTTATCGATGTGAACTTGCCAGGCACCACTGCATTACCCAGACAGCAGCTAGATTCTAGGAACGATTGATCCAGATACACAATTCGCCGATCTGCAAGTCTTCATCTTATTCTGTGCGATCGGGTGAAACATTCGGCAGCAATTCTCTACTACCACCTTTTTAGACCTTCGGTCTCGGTAAAGATTAGTTCAACTTCATTGTCGTCTTTACAACCTTTCAAGGTTTCCGGCCGAGAAGCTAAGTTAACTTAGATCTAATTTTTGTATCAATACGACAAGCACAGCTGCTACGCTCTCATAGATTTGAGAAACCATTCCGTATATTTCGAGAGCCGCCTATAATGACACGTACTGTACCGCGAAACTAGCGATACCGAAAAGTCTGCTCTTCCCGGAGTATGGCCTGAATAGCCTCCTGTCTAGCATTCATATGTATGCACATTGACAAGTAGATTGAGATTAACGAAAACGACGTCGCCGACTACTTGAGTCAATGAGTATGTCCATGCGACAGGAGGGTCCATTTGAGGGCAATGAACCTGCTTAATGGATGCTTGAGCCGATGAAGACGTGAATTCTGATACCCGTACTCGCGTCGGAAGAGTATAAGAAAGCCAAAGGACTCGTAAGCCAATAATAACGGGCACCTCGGAATTGCCTCAAGCGCCAAGCGATCTTGATGCATCAAAGCTTAGGATTTAAACATTTCATGATCTCTGTTCAACGGCAATACCCGCCAGAGATCACCCGCAGAACGATCATGAGTTGAAATTGGAAAAAAGAAGAGAAGGGGAATGTTTTTACGTGACATCACCCCACTAACCCCCCGCCAAATTGCTCGTCCCCGGAATCAAATGCCGCGGGAATCCGTGATGCGTAGTAAGAGCATCCATAGTGGGGAATAAACGGTTGGACGGATATCAAGACGGACATAGCAAAGGAGGGGCCTGCAGCGCTTGGCTCCACTCCGAACCTTCCGGGCAGCTCCCGGATCCCGAGGTTCCCGCCCAATGCTGTTGCTGCCTTCGATGGCGTGCATGCACGCATTTGCTGAATAAGCACAGGATGTCTGACACTTTTGAGTTTTGCGATTAACAACTGCACATCTCCTCCAAAATTCTCCGTCACTATTCAAGAAGTTGTGTATGAGATGGCTGCTTCAGCGCCTGCTTTCAAGCAGGCATTCTCAACGCAGCGAATCTGTCTCCTCATCGGCTTCTTGATATGCTCCACTGTCGCCGGGCCGGCGATCGGCGCGGATCTCCGGTGTCCCGATTACGTCATCCAGCACGGTAAGTCAGTCAGGTATTCGATGCTGGCATATTACCTTGAAAGCTATGGTTGGCGTTCGAGTTCGAGAGAGATCTAATATGACATGTAGCGCCTCTCATCTGGCTTCACTCTGACGACCCATACATGCCTAGCGACCTCTTGACGCACATCCAACACACTTCCCCGGCACTAGACGGAAAGACTATTCCGGATATCCCAACTCTCGACCTGGACAACTTGGAGTCACTCAACAAGTTTGGAGACGAAGTAGCTCTCACCTCGAAGGATGATCCACTGAGCTACCCGGAATGGATTCATGGTGCCACTCCCGACGCCGATGGCAGGATCAGCAATGCCACACCATGCGTTGTGGTTCTCGTCGAGAAGGGAGAGCGAGACCTGGATGCTTTTTACTTCTACTTCTACTCATTCAACGAGGGCATGAACATCAGCCAAGTTTTAGAACCATTCAACCGGATGGTCAAGGGCGAGAAGGCGCAGTCAGGGATGCACTTCGGTGATCATGTTGGGGACTGGGAGCATAACATGATTCGCTTCAGGGATGGGAAACCGACAGGAATCTACTACAGTCAGCACGTCGATGGCGCCTCTTTCAAGTGGGACGATTCGGCTCTCACAAAGACCGACGGGAGGGTTAGTGGCCCTAGTCTCTCAGTCAATGACAAGGAGATATGCTAACTTTGGAAAGCCTATTGTGTATAGCGCACGCGGATCGCATGCCAATTATCCAACCAGGGGGTAAGTTTTGTGTTTTCTTAAGTGAACACAAGGACTAGACTAACCCATGAATTAGGAATCAAATACACAACTCTGTCTTGGTCGACTACTGCGACGAAGGAAGAAGATGGGACCCCATTCTCTCAGCATATTTCTACCACTTCGATAAAGAATCCTTCACAGTCACCAGACTAGATCCACCAGCCAAGTCATCCCCAGCTCCACCACCTTCCTCGAATTTGATATCCTTCTTCTACTACTCCGGCCGATGGGGAGACATAGCGTACCCAGCTTCCGATCCCCGCCAGGAAATCGTCCCGAAGTTCGGACTTAAGAGGATTGAGTCTGGCCCAACTGGCCCACGACACAAGCATCTCGTCAGAAAAGGCCTAAAGCCAGACCAGAGGCGCAAAATGGGATGGATGGAATGGGGAGTCGGAATTTACATGTCCTTGTACCCGTGTTGTTTAAGAGGATGGAGGAGATGGGTCTTCATGGGGTTGATCATCGCAGTGCTATCGGGAGCTGTCATTGGGGCAGTCGTGGCTGTGAAGAAGTATAGAAACAGGAAGTATACGAGGTTACAGGCGGAGGATATACCACTAGACGACTGGGCTCTGGAAGATGAAGCATTGCTTTCTTCGTCTGACGAGGAAGATGTGGATAAACCGCGAAAACTTGTTAAGAAACATTAAGACATATAGGCCGATTCGACATTGACCGAGAGAAATTTGAAACACTAAGGGAAACTCTCACTTCAATTCAGAATGGATTCCATTGTAAATCTGGTGAAGAATATCATATTGGGTCGTAGAAATTGGGTATGCTAGCTGCCGCTGTTGCCTGTCGCCCGCGTATCCCATAGGCTCCAGCCCTACACAATTAGAAGTGTGACTACTGTTGGTTCCAACTAGGCAAGGTATTTGTATCCGCGCAGTAAATGTTGAGTTTGATCTGTTCGGTTCTGTGGGCGATGGAGGGTCAGTTGATTGAAAGTCATGTTGCTTCATGTCATGTTGTCGGTCGGTCGAATGCATGGCCCTGCGACCTAATCGAATCTTGGTCAACTGGGACGTTCAAAACCAAGCGAGGGATACTCGGATCTGCCTGCAAGAAGGCCTTCAATCTTCTTGCTGCGCTCGTCGTGATCCAAACCTGCCCAACCACACGTCCTGCATGTCTGTACTTCTGCCTCCGTTTTTCTATGTACAAAACGAAAGGTATTATTTTCATCAGGTGCCGGAGCCAAACACATCAAGTCTCTCGTTTTCTGATGCCATGAAAGAGGCGTTCTCCCTTCTTTGTCACTCAAGCATGGTTCTGCACCTGCGTTCAGCAACACGGCGACCACTTCTGGGCTCGCAAACTGCGCCGCAAAGGACAGCGCTGTACGACCATCGATATCTTTCAAGTTTACTGCTGCTCCACGCTTGATCAAGTCTTTCACAAGTCCGAGCGCGTTACCGCCCGTAGCGTATGTCAAGACAGTTCTTCCTCGGTTGTCTCGAATATTGATATCCGCTTCGTGATTTAGTAAAAAGAATGCGGCCTTGTTACCGGTATGGTATGCACTGCAGTATTTCCGAGAATCGAGGTGGCTGATATCTGCTGCTATCATGAGAGGGGTTCGACCATGGCTGTCCACAGAATTGACGTTGACTCTGTTTGTTTGAAATAAGACCTTCATCTTCTCAACTGCTTTGAAACCCTTCAACTCTGCGCTGTACGATAATGGACTTCGATCTTGGTCATCAAGATCGTCAGGTTCGAGGTGCAGTTCAAATAAGAGATAGGACAGGACTGTCGTATCACTCCGATTGCCTGCTGCCCAAGACACGGGAGATCTGTTTTTATGGTCAGGCTTCGCGACATCGATTCGATAAGTCTCGAGAAGAAGTCTCATCATGTCAACGCAAACTGCACCAGACACACCGTAGCCAGTGTTCGAACTGAGATCCGCAAGCTTGCAGAACAAAGTTCGCCCATCTTGCGGGTCTGCTGAGCAAAATCCGTTTTCAAAGCGGCCATCGTGCAGTAAAGACTTGAACCTTTCCACGCTGCCGGACTCAAACACTTTTTCCAGTAGAATGTGTTGATCTTCATCAGTGAAGTCGGAAAAGGTGCGTTGGTCTGCAAGTAGTAGTTGGAATAAATCTTCGTCATTGGCTGCATAGTGCACCGGTTTCCATTTCGGCATGGTGCCACAGGGAGCGGCAAAGCTAGTCCTGGGATCTCGAAGCAGAGCAGCCACTGCAGCTTTGTGTCTCTTTCGAATCGCAACTACCAAAGGTGTATCTCCTTCTTGCCGCCAATTCAGGGCGATTCCCGCGTATTCAGAGTCGGTATATTTGCTGAGAAGAAGACGAATGATGTCTGTGTGCCCATAGCAAGCTGCCCACCAAAGTGCTGTTCTGCCACTCGCGCAAACCTTATAACCACTGCGAGGGTCTTCTAGTAGTAGTTTCGAGACTGCCAACTTAAGACCGAATTGTGTAGCAAAGGTCAAGGGGCTCAAGTCGTCAAGATCTCTGTACATTTCTAAAGCCATTCTATGCTTTCTGACCCAGTAGCGTTCTTCTCCATTCGTGTGCCTCGCATGGCTCAGGCGCCACATCCACCTCCTCTTCGTCATGTCGTTGCTTGCTATAGTCTTACACAGAGATACCATGTTATTTCCAAAAGAATCAATGCCGCAGAAATGCTCCTCCTCGCATTCCCCAACGTGACGGGACCAGTGAATGAGGGCATACTCTCTAAAGGCGGACATGTGCGCATCTGGAGAGTTCAGATCCTCCAAGAGGAGATACCAAACGCAAGCTTTGGCCATGATGAAATGCGACTCTTTGGGCTTAATCGAGTGTAGCCAAGTTGATTGGAGAGCTTCGCGTCCAGTTCTGTAGGCTAAGAACTCTCTTGCAGTTTCATGAAGCAGGTAGACGTTCCCGTCTACAATAGTTACGAATAAGCCGCAAATTTCTCTCAGGTATGACGGGAATCTCTTGATGGGCTCTTGACATGTTTGAGAGGTATTCTGGTGATGACTTTCGACGCAGAGCGCTCCTGACATTTCGGACAGACTCAGAGGCCTGTAGGCCCCAAAAATGATGTGAAAAGCCTTTCGAGCTCTTTCCTTGTTTGCACTTTGTTCAAGAATCTTTTCATATAGCCCGTCCAGCTTCTCTGGTATGCTGCTGAAGATGGTCTTGACATTCTCTTCTGTAGGGGACTCCAAGCGACTTTCGATGAAATCGATCGCTAGTTTGACCCATAAGTATGTTCGATGTTGCCAAGTCAATAAGCTTTCCTCAAGCAAACTGATCTCTTTTGCTTCAAGAAGTTGGATCTGGGCGATATCCTGTAGCCTATGACGGATGACGATGCCAATCTCACCGGAAATACGTTCTGTATTAGACTCATCGTCGCCTCTTAGATGAATAGTTGGTAGAGAATTCTCAAGTGGTTGTAAGCTGCGTTGTATTCTGGTGTACGGTCTAGACGTGATGATGAATTTAAGACGACTGTGGTCCGGGGGGTTCTTGTAAAATTTGGCCAGAGTCGATGTCACTTGGCGGCAGTCTTCTTCATTGCATTCATCGAGAGCATCGAACAGACAGATGACTTCGGTTTCGACTTTTGTAGCGGCCTCAAGCAGGATGTCGAAAAGTCTTGAGAATGAGTTGAGCAAATAATCACCATCCGCCTCAAACTTGGCCATGGTGCTTTCGTCCATCAACTCGCTATTCTGTTCCAAGACCTGTCGCAGTATTGCGCACATAGCAGCTGAAGCACTTCTCTGGTCGTTAAAGCCGTCTTTGAAAAAGAAGTAGCTTGTTGTTCGATCTGGTGTGCTTGGACAGACATCATCTACCAAGTACTTTGCAAGCACCGACTTTCCAGCGCCAGGATCAGCCGAAACCCACAACATCCTGGATTCTGATGCGGCTTTCCAATCGCGGAAATATTCATGCTCGGCGAACCATTCGCAGGTCCCTGGAGCCCTCTCGGGATTGATGTCTTTGCGATCACGATAGGGGCAGGTGTAAAGCCTGTTCAAAAGCTTTGTCCTTCTTCTGAGTAGATCATTCGAGACGGGTTTTGGAAGATTAAACATAACGATAGCTCGTTCAGTCTTTTGAGAGGGCGACTCGATAAAGGCGAGGATTTTGTCATGGGTAATAAGTTCCGCGATGGCTCGGCACTGAGCATCCAGCCTTTCAATTTCTTCAATCAAGGCCTTCCACGTGTCGCCCCTGAATAAGTCAACATACCCACTTCCTGGCACCCCCCTGTTTCTGGCACCCACAAAAACGCGAAAATCCACCACAACCCAATGCCCACCCCCAACCTCCTTTTATCACAACATTTTCAATTCGCGTCCAAATGGGCTCATCTTTTGCACATGTCTTCTTCTATATATAATGCCTCAATATACCGAAGATCAGCTTCGTCAGGCTCTCGAGGA